TTCGTAACTTCATGCGCATATTTTAATTGACACACACGCGTAACGCACCGTAAGATTAAGAACAATGGTTAATTACCCGTGTGACGCAGGACGCAGGATTGTGTCTGTGTGTTCTATGCCGTTCTTATTTTGTTTGGATCATCTTATGTAATTTATTAATTCCTACAGCGCCCATACGGTCATTACCGCTGTGTGTTTATATAACAAATATGATTTATATTTTCTTCATACGCGTAACTTAAGAACATCGTTTGGTCTGCTTAATCACAAAAACAAAAAGTGAACACAAGATTTCGGGCATTGCGATTACAATAGCGCTAAAAATGTGATAATAAATTGTAATGCCAGATCTCGTTTGACTTTTTCAGTACCTTATTATAAAATGCTTATAGACATTTGCTTGTTATGGTGAAGTTTACACGAAGCGAGTGTTTTTAGACTGTTTGAGTGTTTTTAAGGCGGACAATAAAGTTGCAATAACCTGAAGTATTACTATGTAATAAATATAAAAAAATAAATATAAGGTGCCTACGCGATATTAGTGTCAAAAACTATAAAACGTGACATTTAAAACTGCTTTATCTGGCTTGAAACGACGTTGGCGAGCAAAAAATGTATTCAGCGTCCAGTTGACCCATAAGTTTTGCAATATGCCATTGCAATATTCACCAAACACCTAATTGAACGGTTTTTATGGAATACACTATAATTAAATGTTAAATTTTTCATTTTTACTGCATTTTAACTGGGCTTTATGTGTACCTTCAGAGAAATATACAAGACATGACTATATTTGTAATACTCATCCAATTCAGTTCTTCGACCTACCTTTACTATTTTGTATTTACTATTTTTATATTTTTTTTTTAATAAAGAAAACTTTTTTTTCAAAATCTGAAAATATAAAATTTTAATTTCAGTTGTCTTATTAAAAAAATAAAACATGCATTGGTAAATTTTGATTTTTTGCATATTTTGGGAGTAAAAAGTGAAAAATTTTCCTTACGAAAATGTTTAAATAGCATTAAAAATAATACAGGAGCATAGTTATTGGACGAAAAAATTAAATTTAAGTTACTGATTTTATGATAAAAATTTCAGAAATTTAAAACGGGTCAAAATCTATTTTTATTTAAATAACTTAAAAAAACCTCTATTTTTGGGGATAAAATGAGTGATAAAAACTAAAAAAAAATTAAGATCTTATATATGACCAAAAGAAGTTTAAAAAAAAAATGTTAATAAAATTTGAGGAGGTCAGGCCGATGACCGCGTGGTTTGACTCAGAATGCCCCATATATACAAGCTGTCTGAACCCGGCTTGCTCGAGATTTAGTCTGCCGAGGCTGAGAAAAATAATAAATAATAAAGTACAAAGTTTGTGTTTGAGGTCATCCTTAGGGGTGGAATTAATAGTGTACTAATGCATAAAGGACAGACAAACAGACAAATATTCATTTATATGTATAAATGAATATATATATATATATATATTTTAGTGATTTAAACAAATTTGAACAGGCATACACTAGCGTTGGCGATTGTCGAATTAATTTGGTTTACTGTAATCGCTATTCATAAACCTGAGCAGACAAAATAAACCATATTATTATTTTCGGTGTTTTCTACTTTGGCCTCGATTACACCACTGTCGTGTTAACGGGATTTAATGTTTTGTATAAAGGAGTAAATAAACGTAATGTTATTATCTTGCTAGAGTTGTAATGAAAAAAAAAATAGACGACAAAACTTGTAAACATACGAATCAGCCTCGACTACCATGCCAAACTCGTGATGTATACTATCAAACGTTTAGATTTAAATTCACTATTACAAAGACGACTTCCTAGTTTCTGGAGCAAAATGGTGTCCGACCTGACCGTACATTTCGTTCGGTACATGAGTTAGTTACAAATTACAATGACAAATGATCAAATTAAAACCACGATAGAAGGTCCCACGTACATCAGATTCGTTATCTAAAACACGTAAAATGTGGTTGTATGGTTTTGTATTCTGGCCACATCAAACTCCTCCCTTAGATGTTTCTTTAATAATTATTGTTATACCGCTTGATCACTATTCAAGTAATTTTCAAAATTCAAGCAATCAAACTAGGTGATTAGGTAATTTTTTAAAGGAACTTGATTCTCTAAGCTTCTTCAAATATTTTATAATTACATTAATACTTACGATTATTGACAAGCCAAGCGCTCATACTTAATTTATGGACCTCTAATAGTTGTTTTCCCGTGTTATTTAGTTTTTCTCGCCAAAAGACGAGACGGTTCTAGTGATGGGAGTATTGTTTTTTCTAAGTAATATAAATAAATAGAATAATTGGACCGACTTAGACGGTACCTGGATTAGACTTTACTGGTTAGATTATGATTGGTTTGAACTGTGCTAGGTTCGATACTTCCGTGTACTCAATTAAACTAGTTAGTTATGAATTAGTCCAATGCTTGATGGAATATTACTAAAAATTGGGGCCATTTAAAAATGAAATAATACCCGAGAAATGACATTTACTAATATAATTAACGGTGTCACCGACGGTGCGTTCGTACAATATATTGTAAAAACTTGTCAATTAAAGCGAGTCCGACATATGTTTCTTCAGAATATCTGCGTTTAATGTCGATTTTATCGAAAATGTCATCATCCCGTTATTAAAAAAAATACTTCAGTGTTCACTAACATTTTTTTTTGTTTTGTCTGTCCTAGTTTTAATGTATATTATACACACACAAGATTCGTGAACGTCTCGATATTGGCTTGATAAAACAATAAAAAACGTACGAGTACAAGACGGTTCCATACCGGAAATTTCCAAGTGCCTGCACTTGGATCGACCCATTCCTGATAATCGTTTTAGCTTACATTGTTTTTCGAATTAATATAATGTATGAAATCCTGATACGATACGACTAAATCTTGTACGACACGTGCGCTACAATGTATGTTACAACTTGGCTTTCTTTGGTCGACTTATAATCGTTTGGTAGCTTTAAACAAACGACGAATGCAGGTTTATAGCATGATACGTCGCACGACAGTTTGATTAAGTGTGTTCAGCTATTGGCATGTAAATAAATAAAAACAGTTTACATGTTATTCGCTCTTACATTATAACATGCGTGCAAAGTAAAATGATGTACCAACGATAACAATTCAATGGATGCGTAATCCCAATGTGTTGCTTATATAACCATAGTGTATTAGTAATTTAACTACAAATTATAATTATTAGTGTAAATTATATTATATAAGTATAAAAAGAGTAAGAGACGAGAAGACAAGTATAATCGTTTAATTCAGTCAAGAAAAATCATGCAAAGACCCAATTTTGCATTTCAGCACTTTAGTAAAAATAGAAAGTATGTAAATCCTTGAATTATTCGTAGCCCCCTCATTATTTACTGAGTAATATTTTATGTTGTTCAATAAATATTTTTGCTTTCGACAACAAAATTTGGAATTATCCAAGACAGAGATAGGTGGCAGAATGTCGTGTGGGTGGCCAAAACTCATTGAAAGTTAAAGTAAAAGAAGAACAAGACAAAACTAAATTTGACTTTCCAATTTTTATTTTCTAAACTACGTGGTAAATAAAATATATTTTTAAAAAATGGGTTATTTTTGTTAATTATTTTATGTTAAGTAACGTTTTTATTTTATAAATTATAAATAGAACTAGTGGACTGAAGCTTACAAGGACTTTAGATTCCAAAAGTCAAAACTCTCTAGTGACGCTTTAAAGTCCAGCAACTAAAATGCGTAACCCCCAGAACTAGTATTTAAGCTAGTAAGGATGTATCTTACTTTTTATACTAATGTATTTGTGTGCAATGACGTTGTTAGCTTCGAATTGTTATTTAAAGCGATATATTTTGACATTTTACATCCAGGGAAATATTTTTCTAACGTACTTTTTAAATACTGTCCTCTAATTGACTTAGACTCGTAATCCTAATTGTGTGCAAACTAAAATTAAAAGGTACTAATTATGAATATAAGTCAACAGTAAATGTGAAAGTTCTAGTGGTAAACTACCATTACGTTTTATTGTTGAAATATTGATAAATTTAAATTTCCTAATGACACGACAAAGTTAATAAATACTAGCTAGTATGGGAGTTTAATTTTATTATCATCATCTTCATTTTTATTATTAATATTATTTCCTCCAGCAATAAACATATAGTATGTAAACAGTGAAGTATAGATCGACTGTTCAAAACGTACGATAGTATAGTACCCGCCGGTGTCAATGGCATCCGACGGCAATGTCAAATGAAAATAGGTAACGTTTAAACAAGTGTAATGCGTTTTCTTTTTTTTTACGATTGCTATTAGCAATTACCTCAAGTGCTTTATTCTCGACTGCTTTGGAGAGTTTAAAATATTTTTTTTTATCTTGAATATAATGTAATGGTTTTATCATAATCTCAGTGTAGGGCCATGGGATTATTGCTTTTGGATAATTTAAATATAATTCTTAGAAAGGGAATGTAACGACTGTAGGACTGTATTTTATTAGATTAATTTAATTTCTTGTTATAATATAATTTTTTGCTAATTGGACCTAATGAAATGGTGTGACAAATTTAATATAATAACGCGGACATTAAAGTAGTTTAAATTTCACTTTTTTGTTTTACATTTCTTTTGACGCCATCCGGATTACCGACGATAATACTTGGTAGGAAAGTACGTTCAAACGAATGTTGATCATTAATTACGAGTAGTATTTGCGGGCGTTAAAATATCATGTCAATGTATGACAATGATAGGTATGCTAAAATTTGTTTTTTTAAGAAAATTTTAAAATTATGCTAAACAATTCAACCCCCTTTATTTGTTAATTGGGAGTCACTTAATTATAATACAGAACTAGTTAACATTTGAAGAAAAAAAACTTAGTTAATATATCGTTAAGTAATTTATTATTTTTTTTAACTAGTATGAAATCATTTCTTATTTTTTGTTTGTTACAGATTATCATCATAATTCAAGCACTACAGGAATGAGCTAAAGGCATCTTCCGTATGTGGTGAGCATCGCCGAGTACCCAATCGCATGCAAGAGCCTCGCAGTTTCCACAGACGAACTGACAGCGTTTTTACCATCGAACGCCTTCGTCATACTCAGAGGTCGGTTTATACTTAATTCAACGGTTCTTCTAAAATCTAATTATGTAAATCGGTTCTTCTCGATAAAGCTCATCGAAAGTATACAGTACCTACTGCGTGTAAACCGAAATTTCTGGTTTTTTGATAATTATTGTGTCAACTGTTGCTGTTTATGTGTGTAGTTCGGTGCTCTTCTTTTCTTTTCTTTTAGTTTTGATATAAAATGGAAGAAATAGAAGATATTTCGTGAACTAGTTTATGACGCGGCGTGCGACGCGATATCTAGGTTCGAGTTGGCTGTCAACCGGTTTCCAGCGACGACCGGTGTAATGATAATTAACAAAAGTAGAAGTTTACTTAAGTGGAAAATTTAATTATCGGTTCTAATCAAATTACAGAGGGGAAAATGTACGATCTTTGTTTGTTTTCTAAAATCTCTCTGGTTTTTCTTAGTAAAGACGTTGATTTTTATATGAATCCACCAAATAATAATCGCAAACAATTAATTATACTAATATAGTGTCTCCAGGATACGCGCACTCAATGACAATAATAATTTTACAAGTGAAAACACTTGTATTCTCGCATTTCGCGACAACGTTTCATTTATTTCTATAACTGTGCAAGTTTATATATATATATAATATATATAAATTTACATTGTTCTTTGGACAATTCGCCTCGCCAATTTTGTTTTTGACTACAATATTATACACTACACACGTAAGTGTCAACAAGATGCTATATACCTGACACCGCAAGAACATAATAAACACACGGCGCGGCGTACACAGACAGAGGGCGGTAAATGTTGGTGGGTGTTGGCTCTATATACTCAAAATGTACATAAGTAAAATAACCAAATGAATATTGGACGGGATAGAGATAGACAATGGGTGAGCTTATGATAATATATTTTGATGATCGTGGTGTGGTAGTCAAGTTCCGTTATACCATAACACACACAGATCAAACCTGTATATATACATGCATATGTCATATCCACATTATCGTTGATGTGACTCATTGGCGAGGATCAGAGACAGCCATTGAACGCCTTTACTACAAGCTGCGACCGTTTAAACTTCTAATTATATTTTAATTCAAATTCAACTCATTATTCAAGCCATTTAAGTCCTGTTTAATCATTATTTAAACTGTATTCTGGAATCAGTTTTCACAAAAACTCGTAGATAAATAGCATAATATAGTGTACATTTTTCTGGGTAAGATGTGCCAGAAGAATTAATTTTAAAAAAGGTATTACAAAAATTACATTGAAGTATTACATATTATACAGTAAAAAGTAATGACCTGGTTTTGGTTTTCTGGGGCGTCTACAGCAATCAGATTTTGCAGCGTTGTCAAGGATTTTAATATAGTTTTTAATTGAGTATTTGTGTTTTTCAAGAGAGAGAGAGAGAGAGACAAAACCATTGTATGCTCGTGTGACCGCCGTTATTGTTAATTATTAATTCAGTCTGTATTTTCTATTTGTATTTTTTAACTAAAAAAAACAATTCTCAATCATGACGTGTCGTAACACCGTCGTTGCGCCTCAAGCACTTCAAGGAGAAACGAAATGTAAATAAGTTGAAAATTGTAATATTATTATGTATACGCAAACGTAAACACATTGTAAACTGTTTTAATTGAAATTAAAAAAACAGACAATGGAAGGCAATTGAATTGTATACAGTAGCCCGTAGCCGGACCTTTATGAATAAATTGGACGTTAGGGCAAGTGGAACCTAAAGTTGTCACAGCTAATAAATATAGTCGTGTGCCGATGCAGGAACACTATTTTCCATAATAATTTATGGTATTTCAACTGTTTAAATCGGATTTTGTTATTATACTTGGGAAATATAAAAAAATGTCTCGTCATTTCGTCAATTTCTCTCGATGACTCTATACAGTCAATATAGACTTTGGGTTTCTCTTTTATTAAACTCGATCCAGAAACCAAAATAATTAAAACAGCGTAACGTCGCCGCGCCGGTGTTATTGTTTTCTGTCATAGGCATTCTCTTAGGTTTCTGGTATTTAATTATGGTTATTTTTTTAATTGTTTTTTCTCTTAAAAAAAACCCTTACCTTCTTATAGTACGAGCAATTGAATTTAGTGTAATTGTTGAGATTCATAGAAGCTGTTTTGAGTGGATTATTCTTGGCTACATATGCCCTACGGTTTGTATACGTCGATGTTAAGACTGTTGTACGAATAACTAGTACAATAGTTTCTAGTGAAGTTAAGACTAACATTACGAGCGTTAACGTCTCTGTATGTACTATGTAGTAACTCCTCTCGTGGCCGATACACACGTCATGTACACGTTTCTTTGCTTCAATTTAGGTGGGCTGTGTTTAACATCAGTGTGAAAATAGTTATTATAGCCGTGAACTTGATATTAAACGTGTCATGTAGTTGAATTCGAGTTGTATGACGTATCGATAGCAAACGGGTTTAAATGCGTAAATTTACAAAAATAACATTCTAGTTCAATGGCGACTTGAACTAGAATAACGAGTAATAATTTTGTGTTCAATGAATGTAACTTACATTTTGTAAGTCAATGCATCTAGTCTTCGTTCTATACCAGTATGGATGAATTCCTTGCAGATAAATAACGTATAAACAATTATTTTTTATTATTCCTGAGTTTTAAGGACTTTTCCCTACAGCTTTAACAATTAAGCTGAAAAACTATTTACTCGTTTGGTATTTGATTTTTCTCTAGATATTTAAATTTGTTTTATTATTAAGTACTTAAGAAAACTTGAAATCACAGAAAGACTGCCTTTTAATAACTAAATTATTTTATTTTCTATGTATCTTATATCTCATACATTGGTAACTGAGTTATGTATAAAGGGTATATTTATATGTAATTTCTATAAAAATTGAAAGTCTTCCAATTAGTTTTAAACACGCATAAAATGTGTCACAGTTTTAAAGAAACCTTGCACTACATACACACAGCAATCAAATGATGTGCAGTCGTACTGGTTTTAAGAAAACCCTGTTTATAGACTATACATTTACACAGACAATCTAGATTAAGTGTGATCAATAATGTACACTCAAACGTTGTAGGATTTCTACCAAAATATCTATTAATTACTATTAATATGATTAGAAAGGTACCGTTAGTACAAATAGTTAATCAGGAATGGGTAAAGAAATCATTAAACAAAATAATAATTACCAATAGATATATTAATCATCGGTAATTAGACGTCGAATGAAATTTTTACAGTAGCGCTATACTGCTTTTAATAATTATTACTAGATGTATAATTTATTGATGTACGGCCACCTTAAATCAGTAAAGAAAATTAAAATTAAAAAATAAGATAAATAAATTGTATGTGTGTACAGATGTAATCATCATCAACCCGATAAGTGACTTGGTGATTTTAATTGTTTGCTTTGTAACAAATGGTTTTTCTGGAAACAATTTGTTTTTTTACTTCTTTGAGTTACAAAAACGTACAAAACTTAATAAAGACCTTTCAAGCACACAAGTACACCGCATTCTCCTACTATTTTGCACATATTGATTAAATTAAATGTAAAACATATTAAATGCCAACAAATAAGACACGCACGAAGACTTCCTTATACACCAACTGCAAAATACTGATTATATTTATATCTTACACAATATCGAAATGTATGGGAGATCATCGGCCCTTTGTCACGACCAAAGCGTAACAACAACGAAGAAAGGCGTTTTCCCATTCTTAGATATCGATATACTATACACATATTTAAATGTTTGTGTTTTACATAACCTTATGGGCAGCTCACGTTTTCAATGTCGTTTCCACGTGTCGTCCTTGTTGGGCAGAGGAACGACCGCGATTAGATATTATCTATATTATAACTATATACTCATAAATTGTATGACAGTTATCGAAACACTCGGACAGCTATGATATCAGATATACACATTGTATAGGTTGCCAACAAGTGCTGGAGCGCAAAGGAGAGAAGGTAAATGAAAGGTCGAGAACTGGGAAGAAGGAAAAAATTATAAAAAATAATATCGTAAACCCTTTACACAATCACTACGTAGCTTTATTATTCCAATTTTTTACAACTTATGAACAATATTTGATGTTCCAATTAAAAAATATCAAAAAAGCAAATAATATTATGTTGGTAAAGAATTCGGGAAAATTCTTTTTGATAAATGCATTAAGTAGGTTGTTTACCGCAATGGCAGAAATTTGTGAATCAAAAGTTAAATGTTAAGACGGTCTTAAAATTAGCATGATGTATGGATAGACTTCAGTTGGAACTTCAAGTAAATTTAAAGTTAAGCGTAAGGAAAGCTTAAAGTTGGTATGCAACAATTTTATTTTAATAATATAAATACCAAGGCCAGTAATGTTTTCCGTCTATTTTTATACTCGCATACTGTTATTTAACGAGTGCAGTTAAGTGAAAAAAACTGCAGTAGCACGGTGGATACCAATATTAAACTGAATGTGCTGCAGAAGGCGTTGCACTCGGGGAGGCCAATATTAAAACGAGTATTTAAAAAAATAATAAACCATTAATAATGCTGTATATAATAGTATACATCTATATCCATCCGATACCGTTGCAGTCACGGTTCCATACTCTATGTGTATTACTACCCAAAAAAAAAAATATATATATATATAAATATTAGGTATATCTACTGCACTGCGACCACTCTCTCTTTCACGGGCAATCGTGAACTTGAAAAAGAAAGTGCGTATACTGCACATACACAACACACACTTAGTATATCTACCCCGGAGGCGCGGGTATACGCCTAAGGTGTTGTTCGCCTCTGTGGCCGCCTAGACCGGTATCTCACTTTGACTTCTTACACCCGTCCGTCACGTATATTACCACGTTTGTGTGTACTTATGTGTGAGGAAGTGTGTATTTGTTGTAATCCGATTTTCGTGTGGGACAATAAAAGAAATGATCATTATAATCTATAATAATATTCCTCTTGCCTTGCCTTTCAGCGATCAAC